GCCCTTCAACTCTCCTCGTCTTCATCGTTTTCCGCCTCCTTCCCCCCTCCCCTCCCCCCAACCCCCCTCTTCTCCCCTCTTCTCAACCCGCCGCCCCTTGTCCTCCCTTTGCTTGCTCCAACCTCTCTTTCTCATCCAGATCCTCTCTCCAGTGAACATGTTGCATGCATGCACATCTCCATGCATGCATCCATCCATCCATCCATCCATCCATCCATCCATCCATCCATCCATCCATCCATCCATCCATCCATCCATCCATCCATCCATCCATCCATCCATCCATCCATCCATCCATCCATCCATCCATCCATCCATCCATCCATCCATCCATCCATCCATCCATCCATCCATCCATCCATCCATCCATCCATCCATCCATGCATCCATCCATCCATCCATCCATCCATCCATCCATCTGTCTCTGTCCCTCGAATTGCAGCATTGCCTTCCATTGTCTCTGTCTTCACAATTGCTTCTCAGCTATGCTTCATCGCTATCACCTCCTTCTTACTTCATCCCCTCCCCTCTTTATCCCCTGCATTACCCTTTCCGCTCCCCCCCTCCCCGCCCCCTGCATCTCCACCCACCCCCAGGCTGCCGCGTGCCAAGCAGCTATTGGCCACAATAGATCGCAACTTTGGCACGCTGGCGTTCTGCCGGCGCTATCTGGACCGCCTGGGCGAGACCAAGTACCTCATGGCGCTCAAGAACCTCTGCGACGCCGGAGTGGTGCAGGTGGGTGCACATGGGTGAAGGTGGGTGCACATGGGTGAAGGTGGGTGCACATGGGTGAAGGTGGGTGCACATGGGTGAAGGTGGGTGCACATGGGTGAAGGTGGGTGCACATGGGTGAAGGTGGGTGCACATGGGTGAAGGTGGGTGCACATGGGTGAAGGTGGGTGCACATGGGTGAAGGTGGGTGCACATGGGTGAAGGTGGGTGCACATGGGTGAAGGTGGGTGCACATGGGTGCAGGTGGGTGCACATGGGTGAAGGTGGGTGCACATGGGTGAAGGTGGGTGCACATGGGTGAAGGTGGGTGCACATGGGTGAAGGTGGGTGCACATGGGTGAAGGTGGGTGCACATGGGTGCAGGTGGGTTCCATCATGCAGATTCCAGCATGCCACATCCAGCATGCCACATTCCAGCATGCCACATTCCATCATGGTGCATTCCGGCCAATGCTGGAATGTGGCATGCTGGCATGTGGCATGCTGGAATGTGGCATGCTGGCATGTGGCATGCTGGAATGTGGCATGCTGGAATGTGGCATGCTGGAATGTGGCATGCTGGAATGTGGCATGCTGGTAATAGGTGCAGGTGGTACCTACCTGCGGTAGTCAGGTAGAGTGCGGTGCAGGTGGGTGGGAGTAGATGGGTGCGTGTAATCTGGACCTTCTGGACGAGACCTATAACCTCATGGTGCTCAAGAACCTCTGCGATGGGGGCGTCGTGCAGGTGGATGGGTGCCCAGTAGCCAGGTGTGGTGCAGTGCAGGTGGGTGGGATGGGAGGAGGTGGGTGCACATGGGTGCAGTGCGGTAACCTCGTGCAGATGGTGTGCTGTTGCTGCAGGTGAGAGTGGGTATGAACGGGGTTCAGAGATAGAGGGACGGTGGCTCGTTTTCTCCTTGCCTTGCTCTTACCCCGTCCCACCGGTCCCTCCTCCCACTCGCCCCGCCCCCACCTGTGCAGCCGCACCCGCTGTTGTGCCGAGGTCGGGAAGAAAAGGGCCACAGAGGCGACCCCAGTGTGGGAGACGGGGGTGGAAAACGAAGCGGAGAGATCATGGGAAGCTACGTGGCTCAGTTTGCCTTGCCTGCTTTTACCCCCTGCCTCACCCGTCCCCATCCCACGCCCCACCCATCCCCCACACACCCTGCCCCACACCTGTGCAGCCGCACCCGCCGCTATGTGAGACCGAGGGTCAGCTTCGTGGCTCAGTTTGCCTTGCCTTCTCTTACCCCCGTCTCAACCCTCCCTTATCCCACCAACCACCCCCACCCCCGCTCCTCCATCCCGCCCCACCCGTGCAGCCGCACCCGCCGCTGTGTGAGACGAAGGGCAGCTACGTGGCACAGTTTGAGCACACACTCATCCTGCGCCCCACGTGCAAGGAGGTGCTGTCCCGCGGGGATGATGACTTCTAGGCAACAGTATGAGTAGACCTTGAGGCGTCCAGTAGGCGTGTGGGCTTTCTGTAGTTGGAGTCGTCTTGTCTCTCCAAGGGCAGCCGTGGCACAGTGTGAGCACACGCTCATCCTGCGCCCCACGGGCAAACAGGTGCCCACGTGCAGAGGTGCTGCTGTTGCATGGGGAATAGGTTTAGTCTCTTGCACGGCGGCTTGCTGTCACGCAGACCTTCAGGCGTGTAGCAGGCTTGTGGGCTTTCTGTGGGGTGAGTTTGTCTTGTCTTGCCTTGCCCGGGCAAAGTGGGTGGGACTCGTTGCCACACTCGAGGCAGAGTGGGACTCATTGCCACACAAGCTGGGCAGTTTTGAGTTGAGTTGGGTGAGTAGGTAAATGCTAGCGCAGGGGACCGTGGCCATGGGCCGTGGCATGTGCTGCTCTCATTTTGTGGTGAACTTACTGTGCAGCGCCTGTTGTAGGGTTGGTTGGTTAAAAGAGATTGGGAATGAGAGCAGAGTGCTGTTGGAATCTCACCATCTTGAGAGTACCAGTATGATCGGTGGGACAGCATAAGGATTACCTACAAAAAGACTGATCCACAGCCGCTCCCCGCATGTCTTCCCTCAACCCCGAAACCCTGAAATCAAATCACCCTCTTATGCGGTTGCGAGGTAGCATCATCCTCAAGAGCCAACAGCATTTATTCAAAATGGCATCACCACATGCACCGTAGAGTCAGCCAAACTTACGGTACTCTCAAGATGGAACCTACCGGATCACAAGCACAACAGTTAAATCGCTAACTTTACTCCCTAGGCTGCACCGCATCCACGCCATGGATGATAAACAGCTTCCCTCTGAAAATCGTCGGAGTCTTAATCTTCGCCTTGCCCTTCCCGATCGCCACCTTCTTCCGCCCAGTCTTGTCATCCAGAACCTCAGCCGTATCAACTCTGTGACCATTCGCGTTTTTTAGCTCTTTGGCGTTCTTTAGGTCCTCCTCCTCGTACACTCCGTCCAGCATGTTCGCGCGAATCCAGTTCCCGTACGGGGTAACGTCGCCGCGCTTGAACTTTGATTTCGTGAACGTGGTAACCGCGTCAGGCGCCGCGGAAGCGATGGCGGAATCGTCGGGTAGGAGGACGGTTTTCCCCTCGGTGTTGGCGAGGTATGCGTCCGTTGGGTTCCAGTCCGTCTCTGAATGACAAAAGGGAAAATTCTTATGTGGTTACAACGACAGCACGAACGTGAGCGATAAACGGAGAAGGGCGGCCCTTTTAACAAAAAATGGGAGAGGAAACCAGCAATTATAGTAATAATTATTAAAAAACGTGCGAGTGACATGCGACTGCGTGGAAGTACTAGCATGATTTACCCAGAATCGGGACGAGCTGGCCAACGAATGCGCCGCTGCTCTTGTATCGGCCGTTCAGTTTGGGGTCGTTGAGCGCCTCCCGGGCCGCCTTCACCTCGTTGATAAATTCTTCCTTGCTCGGCCGCGCTGCAGCTGACGTCAGCAGCCATGCGAGCGTGCAGACGGCGACGAGAACCGAAAGCTGCGTCGACGGACCCATGGGCGCGTGCGCAGAGAGGTCGGGGATGAGTGACTGCGACCTTACTAGTAGAACGCAGGACCAGGAGAGGAAGAGAGTGAAAGGGCAGCGAGGGAATGGAAAGCGAGAGCGAAAGGAAAGCCTTTAGACAGCAAAAGGGCAGCGAGGGAGCGGGGAGAAAAACGAGATGGCGTTTTCTGGAAGCGCAGACCGGCGAGGGAGCGGAATGGGGCGAGAGAGCGAAAAGGGAGAGAGATTGTGTGTGCGAAATTCATGGCTGAGCAATAGAGAGGGCGAGCAGGCGGACAAATCAGGCGAAGTGAACAGATAAACAAAGGCAGAGCCATTGAATGGCAGGGCGACGGGGCTCACAGAAAAGGCACCGTCACGGCGAACTTCCTTTTTACGAGGCAGAGCTTAGGTGCGATCAGCGGAGAGTGTGATTCACTCCATGTAGCTGCTGCAATACAAGTAGGAGCATTTCCTGCAGCGAATAAATATGTTTGCTAGGAGCACGCGCTTCGCTGAGAAACGTCGGAAATCCGTGGGGAGGGGACGCGTCACATCGTCTGACGTAGGCAGGGTCGACTCTACGCATGACGTTTTTCTGGTTCTGGCGGAGTTACAAAAGGTTCTGAAGGATTCGAATAGAATAAGCGTTATAACAGTACGGTGGCAGTTCGACAACAATCAATTGTCCGATGTCACAGGTCCTCGGACAATTATCGAAGCGCGAGTAGAACACGGAACAATAATTGGGAGTGTAGTTGACGACATAGACACAACCTCGTTAACAACCTATTTCTCCAGCCATAACACAGTAGCAACGAGCAAACAAACAAACGTGTAATTATGTTTGCTCGCATATTATCCGGCTATATACAAAAAGGACAACATGCATTGGCTTTACAAAACTTTATGATCGGGTCATTCATTGACGGAACTTAGTTGCTCGTGGCGCGCTTCACTTTCTCGTCATAAACCTGGCTCATCTCTGGCAGATTCGTTCCATAGCGCCCCGCGGCGCTAAAGAGTCATCAGCGATATCCTCGCAGGATACAGTCTCTCGTGGTTTTACTGTACCGAATGTTACACTAGCACAGAGGTCAGGGCTGGTTGATTGGAAGGCAAACTCGCGCGCTCGTACTCGACTGCGCCGTGCGCCACTAAGCGCGCGGGAGCGATTGTAAGGCATACTCTCACGTGAGCTCAGGAGCTCCGCGCGCGCGGGAGGTCAGGGCGCACGCGAAATCAGGGCGCACGGGAGGTCAGAGCGCACGCGAGCTCAGGGCGCAAGAGAGTTCGGAGCGCGGAATGGGGGGAAAGCAGCGGGGCGGCAAGGGGACGACGGGCGGAGGGGAATCCGCTTCAGCAGCAGCGGCGGCGGCGCATGGGGGGAGCCGGGGGGAGAAGGCGCGGATGGCGGACGGTGCCGGGGAGAAGGGGCGGGGTGGGGGAGGCGCAGGGGAAAAAGGCCGTGGGGGGGAAGGAGGGGGGGGAACGGGTCGGGCGGCCGACGCGGAGGAGATGGCGGAGGTGGCGGTATCGCTGGGGGTGACGGGGCACGCGGGGCACCTCGAGATCATCGCCGTGGACCGCCACCGCTTCCCCCTCCACCCCCGCCTCGCCCCCCCGCCCTTCCTGCTCGTGAGCACCTCTCCCGTCCGCGTTCCGGCCCCTTGCATGTTACTTTCCCCCATCGCTCCCCCTCCACCCCCGCCTCAGCCCCCTGCCTCCTGCTCGTGCGACCCTCCCGCTCCCCCTTCCACTCCCCCTTCCGCTCCCCCTTCCGCTCCCCCTTCCGCTCCCCCTTCCGCTCCCCCTTCCGCTCCCCCTTCCGCTCCCCCTTTGCTCACCCTTCCGCTTGTAGCATGTTACCTCTTCCCACTGTTCCCCTTTCCACCCACCCCACCCGCCCCGCTGGTTATCGTGCTTGTGCGCCCCTCCCCCTTTTGCTCCCCCACTGCTCCCCCCACTGGCCTCGTGCCCCCGTGCTCTAGTGCCCTCGTGCGCCTGTGCTATCTTTCTCTCTTGCCCTCTTGATGCGCAGCGTTCTTTCCCTGTGTCACCTCTTGCCCACACCACACCCCCCTCCACGCCACACCTCTTGCCCACACCACACCCCCCTCCACGCCACACCCCTCCACTCTGCCCCGTCCCACCAGCATGCACAGCCACTCGTTTCATTTCCCCCACCCTACACCACTTGCTTCATTCAGAGCCGCTGACGCCGCCCATGCGAAGCAAGAGCACCCAACTAACCCGTTCCCCCTCTCCACTCTCCTTCCACGTTCCTCTCCAAACCTCTCTCCAAACCTCTCCAAACCTCCCAACCTCCTTCCCCAAACTTCTGCTACACCCAACCTCTTCCTCCAGCCCAAGCCTCCCTTCCCCGAGCCTCTGGACGTTCGGGAGCTACCGGAGCTGTGCCCTCTGGCCGTGTGGGATGACGTGGAGCGCCAGCTGGCGGCGGAGCCGCAGGAAGATGCCATGTGGCAGTACGACTGGATGCCACGTGGCGCCCTGTCAGCCGTGACACCTGGCGGGCTGTGCAGCGTGCTGCAGCCAGCGTGGCACCCTCCCTGGGTGGAGGAGTGGGGGGACGGGGCGTGGGGGGAGGTTGAGGGGGAGGGGGAGGGGATAGAGGAAGGGGAGGGCGAGGGTGAGGAGGAGGGAGGGGTGGTGAGGCGACCAGAGCTGGTGGACGAGGTGAGGTGCCCCCTGCCTGCCGCCCATATGCGCCCCGCCCTCTCTTCCCCCTCCTGTTGCCCTCTTGGCGGCCTTTTTGCCTTAGTCCCCATTGTGACCTCGTTTTTCCTCCCAGCTTCATCTTCCCCATGTCACGTATGTCGAACGAACCCCACCTGCCCCTTCCCTTCCCTTCCCTCCTCTCCCCCATCCCCGCAGCTGTTCTCCCGTCCAGGCATGTTTCTGGACCTCACCCGCGCCCCTCAACACCCCTCCCCACCTCTTCTTCCCCCCCTTTCCTCCCCGCCCCCGTCAGCTGTTCTTTCCCCCGGGAACATACCTGGTTCTCAACCGCCCTCCCTTTCATCCTCCCCCAACCTTCTCCCTCCCCCTTCCTTACCCCCCCCCACCTACGTTGCTAAATACGAGTACCGAGTATAATACGTTAGCGTATTATACGCTTGGTATATACGCGGTACGCCAAGGCTGGCGTACTGCTGATACGCAAAAATACGCTGGCGGGCAGCTAAAACTTTTTTTCCCGGGCAGGTATAAAAAAACCTGTTTCAGGGGGGGGGGTTCAGGCCGACAACAACACATGTCAATATTTTATTTCATAAATATCCAGAAATACATAGTTCATCCACATAATCCCCACCCTCTAGCGAGCTTCCCCACAGCCTATTTCCTTGCGGGGCTTTTCCACCACCACCCCTTCCCCATACTCATCCGCAAGCACTGCATCATCTCCTTCCCCCCCCAGCAGGTCATCCTCCTCCTCCTCGTCCATGTTGTAGCCGCGGGGGATAGGGGCATCCGGGATGTTCCCGGGCACAACCGTGCTGGCCCCATCCTTGTTGTACCAATTGCGCACAACGTTCCAGTTGTGCGCAATGTAAACCAGGTCCGCACACTTGGCGGACCCGAGGCGGTTGCGGCGGGCAGTGTGGACGCCTTCCCACTGCGCCCAGCCACGTTCGCATGAAGAAGCCGAGACGGGCTGAGTGAGAATCCGGCATGCGAGGGTGGCAAGCTCAGGGTACTCGGTGCTGTGCCACGACCACCACTGCACCATGCTCATCTCCCCTTTCTTCACTGCCTCCCTTGCAGCTATGGCGCTCGGCTTGCCAAAACTGCCCTCCAAGTTGATGTAGGCCAGCAATGCCTCCTGCAGCACAAGGGAGGCGCGGCGAGGGGCACCATCCTTGCCGCGCCTGAAGGTGACGTGGTCATAGTGGCGCTCGATGTAGTCTTTGAACACCCTCGTGCACTCCACATCGTTCCTGAAAATTCCCTCCTCCTGGTTGGCCGGATTCAGGATCCGGCCAACCACATGCATGGGGCAGGCAAGGGAGTTGTCCCACCTGTCCTTCACAATCTTGGTGATGTCTGCCCTCTCTGTCCGAGTCAAGAAGTCGCCTGAAGCGTCGAGCTTGTCATTGATGTCCTCGGTAAGCTGTAGCATAATGTCATACAGCTTACCCATCATGCCTTTCGCGGAAGAGTCCGTGGCCCGCATGGCCTTGAATGGCACCGCCATGAGAGAGGAAAAGAACTCCGCCACCCCCCACCACTCCTCATCCATCACAGCAGCCCTGAATTTCTCGGCTGCAGTCTTCCTATCCTTGTCCCCCGCTGCCCACACCTTCCACTCGTCGCTGAGCACCATCGCCGCCAGCCCACTCCTCACCTCACATAGCCGGGCCATGGCTATGTATTGTGTCCCGAACCTGGTTCCCGCCGGCTTGAGCACCTGCTTCCCCCCCACTTTCTTCATATAGGCACGGGTGAAGTGGTGGTTGCGCACGAAGGTAATCATCTCCCCTCCTTTCTCCACAAGCCCCTTCGCCCATCCCATTTTGCCCACATCTTCCTTTAACAGGTCCAGGACATGCGTGGCACATGGCACATGCTCAATGTGCGGCCATGTGCCCGCAATCTTCCGCGCTGCCGATGCATAGTTGCTGCCGCCATCGGTGCAGACCGCCACCACATTCTCCGGCCCCACCTTATCAATGACGGGGCGGAGAAGGCTGGCGATGTACCCCCCCGTCTTCGACTCCGTGTTGCAGTCCACGGCCTGCTCGAAAACTGCGCCGGAGTCGTTGACAAGGAGTATGTTGGCCTGCGGGCGGCCACAACGGTCGGTCATCATGTCCGACGACACGGTGACACCGTCCCGCTTCCAGCTCGCGGCAACGGGGGCGAGCGCTGCCTCCATTTTCTGCCGCACTTTCTTCAAGCCCGCCCCTCCAACGTAGCCCCTCTTGGGGGGAACATACCCCGGTCCCGCGCGCGCAAAGCACTGGACCGCGTAGCGGAAGACCGGATCATCCACGATGCGCTCTGGAAGCTTCAGCGCCGAGATCATTAGGCAAAGCGCGTTATCCGCGTCCTCCTTGGCGCACGTTGCCTCGTCGCCGAAGAATTCTGTTATCTTCCCCTTCTTCTCCGCACAAGCAGTGACCGCGCCCAGCACGGAGTCGAGTGCTGCAGCAGCCGCCCCTCGTTTCATGCTCTTGTTTTCCTCCTTGTTTTCGTACATGGCACGCACTTCTTCACGGAATTTCGGGGACACGTCCTTGCAAAGCCTGACAGGGCGTCCATCTTGCCCTTTCCATTTGGCGAGGTGAACTGCGCAGCGAGTGGTTCCGCCCTCAAACTTGAAGCCACAAAACTTACAAAGCTTGGGATTGCCTTTGGTGTGGGGGGGAATAAGAAAATGTTTCAGAATGGGGTTCGAAAGGCCAGCCTCAACAGGCTGCGTGTTGATCGCACTACTAGACGCGTGAACAGAAGCTACATTGCTCGTCGCGCTAGGAGGGGTGGAGTTCGACGCCATGGGGCGCGACTAAGGAACGGTAAACTGCTTGAGGAAAACGGGAGATCAGAGCTCGGGAATGAAATTGAGGAGGAGAGAAACGAATGAAGGATAGGAAGGCGTCAACGAGTAAATGCTCACATGACGTGCTGGACATTTGAGAGGGGTGGTTGGATATGAGAGGTTTGGTGGGGTGGTGTGTGGTTGGGGTGGTGGGAGGTTTGGATTCTGAAATTTGAATTTCAGACGTGGGTTGGGCGATGTGCTTGGTCGCGTAACCAGTCGCGAAGCCCTAATAACCGTCGCAATTTTTTTTCAATTTCGATTTTTTTTTTTGCCGGGTTGCCCGCGCGTTTTTTCACGAATTCGAAGCGTATTAGCGTACCACGTACGTACGCAATCGTATATACGTGGTACGCCACCCTACCCAGAGCGTATTTGGCAACGTAGCCCCCCACCCGAGCTGATCTTCCCCCGGGCACGTATCTCGATCTCACCCGTCCGCCCCCCTCTGCTCTTGAGCTCGTCTGCAGCACCACTGCCGGCGCCTCACATCCTCCCCACGCTCTTCTTCCTCCCTCTTCCTTCCCCCCTCTCCCCCCCCACAGCTGTTCTTCCCCCCGGGCACGTATCTCGATCTCACCCGCCCCCCCCCCTCCGCTCTGGAGCTCGTTCGCGGCACCACTGCCGGCGCCTCACAACCCCTCGACCCTCCCCCTTCCCCCCCCCCCCCTCCCAGCTGTTCTTCCCCCCGGGCGCCTATCTCGACCTCACCCGTCCGCCTCCCTCTTCCCTCGAGCTCGTCCGCGGCACCACTGCCGGCGCCGCCCATCCCCTCGCCCTCTCCTCGCACCCGCCCCCCCATGCTGCTGCTGCTGGGGGTGCAGCAGAGGCGCAGCAGGGGGAGGGGCAGCAGGCGGGTGGGGGGAGAGGAGAGTCAGAGGAAGCTTTAGCGGCACTGTTTGCGTACTTGGAGGGGGGGGCGGAAGGGGTTGGGGGAGGGGGAGGGGCAGGAGAGGCGAGGGGCGTTGGGGATGCGTCGTTGCTGCTGAACGTGCCGCCTGGGTTCACTGAGGGCGGACGATTCGAGGCCAGGGAGGAGGTGAGAGTCATGGCCCATGGGTGGGCCTATGTTTGAGGCGCTTTTTTTTTTTGTGTCGTTGCTGCTGAACGTGCCGCCTGGGTTCACTGAGGGCTGACGATTCGAGGCCAGGGAGGAGGTGAGAGTCATGGCCCATGGGTGGGCCTATGTTTGAGGCGCTTTTTTTTTTTGTGTCGTTGCTGCTGAACGTGCCGCCTGGGTTCACTGAGGGCGGACGATTCGAGGCCAGGGAGGAGGTGAGAGTCATGGGTGGGTGGTGGGACGGGAGGTCTCTTGGGGCTCGCACGAGGTTTTCAAATCGTGTCAAGTAATTATCTCGGAATTAGCATACAGGTGAAACGTAACAAGGAGGAGGAATGCCCTTCTCTCCGATTTTTTCGAGCAAACAGGGACAGGTGTTGGTTGGTTGATTGCCTCCATTCCCCATCTCATACCATACCACCCCCCTGTACTGCTCATTCCGCCGCTCTTCATAAAATCTCATCACACTCATCACAAGGGAAAGATTCAGCGCCTGTCCCTGTTTGCTTGCGCTTGCACCCCTTCCTGTCCTCTCTCAAACTCCTCACTGTGCTCCTCCCTCCCACCCTACCTCTCTCCACTTACTTGTAGCTCTCGCCATGTGTCTCCCTGCCCTCGTCACATCGCGTCTCTCACTGCTCTGTACCGAACGCACCCCACACCCCCGCGTCGCTCAAACTGCTCCCTAACCTACCTGCTCACCAGAACGCAGCTCTCCTCGTGCTTGCTGACACACACGGGCGGGCGCAGGCAATCTAAACTCCCTCCATCATTTGAAGTGGTGCAAATGCTCACATGAAACACACACACACACACTCTCTGAAGCTCCGCGTGTCCCCTTACCTTCACGCCACAACCTTTTTTCCGGCAGTCAGTCACCACCCTTCAAGCCGTTGCTTCCTGTCATATGAGGCCTCTGTTGAAACATGCAACTTTTCCCTGCTCCCTTGCCCGCCTCACAGAGCGCTGCTGCCACATTGGAGTCACTTTAGAGAGCTCTCGAGGAGATTTTTTTTTTATGCATGCGGCTTTTCACCCCTTCTCTGTGCGCCTTACAGTGTGCTGCAGTGCAGCCACACAAGGCGAGACCGCTGCTTGCCGTCTCCCGCCCCTCCTCTCTTTTAATAACTCTCAACAGTGGATTCTGTGTGCGCTCTCTCTCCAACCCACCCACCCCACCCCACCCTTGCCCATCCCACCCCCAGAGGGACATGCTGCCGCTCTCTCTGCTGCGTGCGCTGGCAAGACAGCAGCTTGCTATCTCCACCCCCCTCTGACCGAATCCACTAAGTGCTGTCTTTCCAACCCACCCACCTCACCGTTCCCATCCCACCCACCCCCAGAGGGACATGCTGCCGCTCTCTCTGCTGCGCGCACTTGCAACCCCCCCTAAGGAATATTCAGAGGTGCTTCTTGAGGAGGCGCAGGGTGCGGGCACTGGAGGGGCAGCAGGGAGCGGCGCTGCTGTTGTGGAAGGGGGAGAAGGGGGAGAGGGAGAGAGTGAAGGAGAGGCTGGGGGTGGGCAGGGGGAAGGAGAGGGGGAGAGCGGGAAGCTTGGGTTTGCAGATATGTTTCAAACAGCGTGGGGTGCTGGGGGGGATGAAGAGGAGGGGGAGGAGGAGGAAGAGGAGGAGGGAGAGGAGGAGGAGGGAGAGGAAGAGGGAGAAGGGGAGGAAGGGAAGGAGGTGGTGGGAGGAGGAATGGGTGCTGCAGAGATGGTTGCCTCTGCAGGTGCGTGGTAGCGACAGGGCACACAGGGCACACAGGGCACACAGGGTATTCAAGCCTTTGCCGTCTCAAATCTCCGATGTGGTGTGCCATGCATTCAAGCCCAGCCAAAGGCCGCCAAAGGCGCGTCGATTGTCCTGTGCAGCCGTCCATTCCTGCTCCATCTGATGCCATCCCGATTCCTCTCTCCGCTCCCCTGTTCTTCCGTCCCTCCCACCCACCCCTCACAGCCACTGCACGGCCGTCTCCTCAGGGCAAGCGCGGTGAGAGGAAGAGCGGGGCGGCAGCAGCGGTGGATGCACTGCTGGGGGCGGGCAGAGGGGCGTTTGGCAGCCTCGAGTGGTGGACTGCTGGCTCGGGCCTGGGCCTGCTGGGTGCCGCACCTTCTGCCTCCCGCCCTGCTGCTTCTAAGGAGGTACTCCTTCTTGTGGTGCTTCTGCTTTTGCTGCTGCTGGTTTGATCTCAAAACTGCTGGTTTGTGCACCTCTTTACATGATACGCCTCCATCATTCCTGTAACATGTTCCAGCAGCAACCTTTGCACCCCCCAGGGCCACGGGGCATGGGCGGTGAAACATGCACTACCTCATGTCTCTTACCTCCTCCGCCTCCTCCTCCTCCTCCTCCTCCTCCTCCTCCTCCTCCTCCTCCTCCTCCTCCTCCTCCTCCTCCTCCTCCTCCTCCTCCTCCTCCTCCTCCTCCTCCTCCTCCCACTCCTTTGCCGGCCCCTCTCTCAATCAAACCCCCAGGGCCACGCATAAGCATGGGCAGTGACAGATGGCATACCGGATCTGGATCGCTAGTTTGCCGCCATCCAGCCCGACAGAATCGCGGGCGTGGGAAGTGAGAGAAGCTCGCAGACCACATATCTCTCACCTTGTCTCTGCATATTTTCCCCACCCCTCTCCCCACTTGCCACAACCATGCATGACGGACAGCATACCAGATCTGGATCGCGAGTTTGCAACCATCCAGCCCGACATGGCCATGCCTCAATGCACATTCTCCAGTTTCCATTCCCCGTTCGTTTTTTGAGACGTCTCAAAAATACTCTTTTTACACGTGCCATCCAGCCTGACATGGCCATGCCTCAATGCACATTCTCCAGTTTCCATTCCCCGTTCGTTTTTTGAGACGTCTCAAAAATACTCTTTTTACACGTGCCATCCAGCCTGACATGGCCATGCCTCAATGCACATTCTCCATTTTCCATTCCCCATTCTCCGTGCCCGATGCCCCATGCCGCACTAACCTTGCTCCCCCGACAGGGCCATGCATGGGCGTGGGCGGTGACAGACGCCATACCAGATCTCGACCGCGAGTTTGCCGTGATCGAGCCTGACATGGCCATGACCTTCCCCTTCCAGCTCGACACTTTTCAGAAGGAGGTGGGTGGGGCATAGTGAGCAGCGAGCACCATATAGGTGCCGCGTGACTCATGGTATAGCCTTCAACACACCGCCACCATCGAGCCTGACAGGGCCATGACCTTCCCCTTCCAGCTGGACACTTTCCAGAAGGAGGTGCGGAATAGCAAGGACCATGTAGGTGCCGTGACTTGTAGCCTTGTAGCCGTCTTCTAGGCGCCATGGTGTGCCATGGCTTGTATCCTTCTTCAAGCCAGCATATCGAGCAATGAACACCATGTTGGTGCCATGCCATGGCTTACAGCCTTTCTGCGTTTCCTTGTAGCTCTCGCCTTGGCCGCTCTCCCCCCTCTCAAATGGTCCCCCCTCTCCATGTCCACCTCTCTCACCCTCCAACTCCCGGGGCGCTCGTGCCCTCCATCCCATTCATCCCACCCGGCCACTGCCAGGCCATAATCCATCTGGAGCGCCACGAGTCGGTCTTTGTGGCGGCGCACACGTCAGCGGGCAAGACAGTCGTGGCTGAATACGCCTTCGCCCTCGCTGCCAAGGTGCGTGCTGCACTGCAGCTGTGCGCTGACTTGAGTCGATATGAGGTGGCTTTGAGGCCACTAAAAAACACTCACGTCAGCGGGCAAGACAGTCGGGGCCGAATACGCCTTCGCACTCGCTGCCAAGGTGCGTGCGCTGCTGCTCCTGCTGCCCCTGCTTGCTCCTGCGCTGCACTGCACCTGCTTGGCGACTTGTTGAGTCGATTCAAGGTCTCGCGGCTATGCCTATAGCAGCCACGATTCGTGCCTGAGCACACCGTGTTGCCGTTTTCCTTGCACGTTGCATCGTCTCTCTTCTCGCTTCCTTAAAGCCCATCATCATCCAGAAACGTGTTACAATCACAAATATCTTTCCCTTCCTTCCTGACCTGCCCTGGCCTTGTCCCCTCCCTACTCTCCCCCCACCCACAGCACTGCACGAGGGCAGTGTACACGTCGCCCATAAAGGCCATCAGCAATCAGAAGTTCCGCGACTTCAACAAGCGGTTCGACGTGAAGCTGCTGAATGACCCCACCCCCCCATGCCCCCCCTCACCCTCCCCCCACCCACAGCACTGCACCAGAGCGGTCTACACATCGCCCATCAAGGCCATCAGCAATCAGAAGTTCCGAGACTTCAACAAGCGACTCGACGTGGGACTGCTGACCCCTCCCCATCCCATCCACTTCCACCTATCCCACCACCCCAACCCCTCTGCCCCCCATTCCATCCCCCCTGTCCCCCCTATACCCACAGCACTGCACCAGAGCGGTCTACACATCACCCATAAAGGCCATCAGCAATCAGAAGTTCCGCGACTTCAGCAAGCGCTTCGACGTGGGGCTGCTGACGGGCGACCTCAGTGTGCGCCCCGAGGCGGCGTGCCTCATCATGACCACTGAGATCCTGCGCTCCATGCTGTACCGCGCTGCTGACATCATCAAAGATATCGAATGGGTGCGTGCTGGTGGTTGTTTGTGATCAAGTGTGTGTGACTGTGAGAGTGTGCACTTCGAGGCGGCGTGCCTCATCATGACCACTGAGATCCTGCGCTCCATGCTGTACCGCGCTGCTGACATCATCAAAGATATCGAATGGGTGCGTGCTGGTGGTTGTTTGTGATCAAGTGTGTGTGACTGTGAGAGTGTGCACTTCGAGGCGGCGTGCCTCATCATGACCACTGAGATCCTGCGCTCCATGCTGTACCGCGCTGCTGACATCATCAAAGATATCGAATGGGTGCGTGCTGGTGGTTGTTTGTGATCAAGTGTGTGTGACTGTGAGAGTGTGCACTTCGAGGCGGCGTGCCTCATCATGACCACTGAGATCCTGCGCTCCATGCTGTACCGCGCTGCTGACATCATCAAAGATATCGAATGGGTGCGTGCTGGTGGTTGTTTGTGATCAAGTGTGTGTGACTGTGAGAGTGTGCACTTCGAGGCGGCGTGCCTCATCATGACCACTGAGATCCTGCGCTCCATGCTGTACCGCGCTGCTGACATCATCAAAGATATCGAATGGGTGCGTGCTGGTGGTTGTTTGTGATCAAGTGTGTGTGACTGTGAGAGTGTGCACTTCGAGGCGGCGTGCCTCATCATGACCACTGAGATCCTGCGCTCCATGCTGTACCGCGCTGCTGACATCATCAAAGATATCGAATGGGTGCGTGCTGGTGGTTGTTTGTGATCAAGTGTGTGTGACTGTGAGAGTGTGCACTTCGAGGCGGCGTGCCTCATCATGACCACTGAGATCCTGCGCTCCATGCTGTACCGCGCCGCTGACATTATCAAAGACATTGAATGGGTGCGTGCCCCTTGTTGTGTGTGATTAAGGGTGAGTGTGTGAATGCGTGTGTATGAGTGTGCGCCCCGAGGCAGCGTGCGTGCCTCATCATGACCACGGAGATCCTGCGCTCCATGCTTTATCGGGCTGCTGACATCATCAAGGATATTGAGTGGGTGCGTGCTGTGCTGTGGTCTGCTTGTGCCTGTGTGAGCGTGGGTGCATTGATGTCATCTCATGTGTGAGACTATGCGAGTGTGCGCCCCGAGGCAGCGTGCCTCATCATGACCACTGAGATCCTGCGCTCCATGCTGTACCGCGCTGCTGATATTATCAAAGACATTGAATGGGTGCGTGCAGCTGTTTATGTGAGTGTGGGTGCATCTGTGTAATCTGTGTGTGGGAGTGTGCGCCCCCAGGCCTCAGTGTGCGCCCTGAGGCCGCCTGCCTCATCATGACCACGGAGACCTTGAGGTCCATGCTTTATCGGGTTGCTGACATTATCAAGGATATTGAATGGGTGCGTGCTGGTGGTTGTTTGCGTGTGGGTGTGAATGGGTGGTGTGCTTGTAAGAGAGTGTGAGTGGGAGTGTGCACGACAGCCTGCCTCATCATGACCAGGGAGATCCTCCGCTCCACGCTGTACCACATGCTGTGCTGTGCTGTGCTGTGCTGTGCTGTGCTGACCAGGGAAATCAAACCCTCTCGGTCAACACCCTTATCCACCGCTTGTTTCCCAACGCCTTTCATCCACTTGCACGAGTGCTATTTGTCGACAAGGAGCCATGCAGCCCTTGTGTTCCTCGTGCCTCAACCGCTCTCAACCTCCCTGAACACACGCAGGTGGTGTTTGACGAGGTGCACTATGTGAACGACATGGAGCGCGGGGTGGTGTGGGAGGAGGTGATCATCATGCTGCCGCCCCACGTGGGCCTCATCATGCTCTCCGCCACTGTGAGTGTGGTTGCCCCCTTGTGTGCAGCACGTACTATGCACCATGCAACATGCACAGTGACTTGTGCACCATGCATGCATGTTATATCGCTGTTCATAGATGAACACATGCATCGTACATCGCCATGTATGCATCAACGTGTATGCTCTCAGCCAAGTTCTGACTTGGAACATGTCATTTGTATGTGATATGACATGGAACATGTGTGATACATGACGCATCATCAATGTGATGTTCCTCGCTTCCCTTCATCTCGCTGTCGCTCTTCTCTTCTGCTCCTCCTTTTCCCTCTTCCTTGGCCCCCGGCCACTGCCCTCGCCTGCAGGTGCCCAACACCACGGAGTTTGCGGATTGGATCGGCAGAACCAAACGGAAGAAGATATTCGTTACAGGGTGGGTGGCACAGGGTGGGTAGCTTGGGGTGGGTGCACGGGGTGGGTGGCGCTGTGCGGGTGGCACAGGATAGGTGAACCCCCAGCACCACACAGCGTCCAGCCCCATTAGAGCACAGCACATACTACAGGGGGCGCCTTAGCACCTTGATAACAGTAATGAGGCGTGGACCATGCATGCGTGCATCTGGGTTATGTGCCATCTTCTTACCCATTTACACCCCTTTCAACCCCTTTTCCTTTCCCCAGCACCACGCGGCGTCCAGTGCCCTTGGAGCACAACCTCTACTACGGGGGGCGCCTGCACCGCATCTTTGACCGCGGGGACATCGACAGTGCCGCCCTGCACGCCCTTTGAGGCGCCTCAAACCCCCTCCATCCTCCCCTCTCCCCCAGCAAGCAGCACGCGGCCCCCGGTAGCATTAGAGCACATCATCTACTACAAGGGCCGCCTGCACCGCATCTTCCCACCCTAAACCCGAAACCCTTTCCCCCTTCTCCTCTTCCTCAGCACCACGCGCCCCCAGTCCCTCTGGAGCACAGCATATAACGGGGGCTGCCTGCACCGCATATTTGTCCGCAGGGACATCGACAATGCCGCCCTGCCCGCCGTGCACACCTTTTGAGGTGCCTTACCCCACCCCCCACCCCGTCCCCCCTCCCCCCAGCACCACGCGGCGTCCAGTGCCCTTGGAGCACAACATCTACTACGGCGGTCGTCTGCACCGCATCTTTGACCGCGGGGACATCGACAGCACTGCTCTGCGCGCCGTGCACGCCGCACACAAGGCCAAGCACGCTCCTCCCGCGCAGCAGGCTGGGGGAGCGGGGCGAGGGGGCGCGGGGAGAGGAGGGGGAGCAGGCGGGCAGGGGGGGCAGCAGGGGAGAGGCGGGCAGGTGGGGCGGGGGGGGAGGGGAGGGGGCGGGGGTAGAGGGGGAGGGGGGGGAGGGGGAGGGAGAGGGCGCGGGGCGGGGATGGCGGCAGCGGGGAGGGCGATAGCGGCGGCGATGGGGGGAGGGGGAGGGGATCGGTACCGGCGGTCGATGGCGACGGAGTGGATGCAGTTTGTGAACCTGCTCGGCAAACAGGAGCTGCTTCCCGTGCGTTGCACTCTCCCGTCCCCATCCCACTCCCATCCCCATCCCACTCCCAATAATATGAGTGGTTTCGTTTATGGAGCAATTATGCTTATGCCACCCGTCCAACCTCATGCTCTGGTGGTGGTGTTCTTCCTCCCACCCCCTCCCACCCCTTCCCACCCCCTCTGTCCCCCTCCACCCTGTGCTGTGCTCAGGTGGTGGTTTTCTGCTTCTCCAAGTGCCGCTGTGACGAGTCACTAGCATAACGCACATGAGCTCCCTCCCACCCCCTCACACCCCTTCCCAACCCCTCCCACCCCGTCACACCCCCCCTGCCCCCTCCACCCATCGTGCAGGTGGTGGTGTTCTGCTTCTCCAAACGGCGCTGTGACGAGTCAGCAGACAGCCTGACCTCAGTGGACCTCACCTCCAAGAGCGACAAGAGCGCCATCGTCATGTTCTGCAACTCTGCATTCGCACGCCTTAAGGGCAGTGATAGGCATTTGCCACAGGTGAGTGAGATGGGTGCAATGCGGTTGGGTTGGGTGGGATTACAGGTGGACCTCACATCAAAGAGCAGCAAGAGCGCCATCGTCATGTTCTGTAACCCCGCCTTCGCTCGTCGTAAGGGCTCCGATAGGCACCTGCCACAGGTGAGATGGGTGCAATGCGGTTGGGTTGGGTGGGATTACAGGTGTGCTTGACATCAAAGAGCGACAAGAGTGCCATCGTCATGTTCTGTAACTCCGCCTTCGCTCGCCTTAAGGGCAGTGACAGGCACCTGCCACAGGTGGGATGGTTGCAGTGCGGTTGGGTGGGACGGGCGCAGTGCGGTTGGGTGGGATAACACGCGCACCTCAAATTAAAGACCGACATGAGCACCATCCTTATTTTCTGCAACTCTGCTTTCTTTTGCCTCGAAAGGCTCAGATAGGAACTTGCTGCAATTGAGTGGAATTGGTGCAGTGCGGTTGAGTGGGATTTATCTTGTGCACCAGTCACAGGTGGGCCTTGTGGTTTCCTTATTTAAAAGGTATCAGGCCAATTGCTGCCAGAATGGCTGCCTTCATGGGTCTTTGTTGTGATAAGATGGTGGCTGCGCACAGGGATGATGTTAGGGAGGCGCTCCCTGCAAACACCCCATGCCTTGGGTGGAATGCTGCTGATTGATCTCGCACATAACAACGCACCTTTCGTGTTACCTGACATACCACCTGTGAGACATGCACCCACATGGCCTGACACCTGGATGGCTGGCCCCCACCCACGTGGCAGGTGGAGCGCATATCGGAGCTGCTGCGGAGGGGCATCGGGGTGCACCATGCAGGGCTGCTGCCCATCGTGAAGGAGGTGGTGGAGATGCTCTTCTGCTCTGGGCTCATTCGAGTAAGACTGCGACAGTGCATGTACATGCACCTGCGCGCATACATCAGTGCACCTGCAAGCAGGCCTTTCTCGAACTCATGTTCCCCCCTGCTCTGTGCCATGCCCCTCCCTGCTCCGCTCTGCTCCGCTCTGCTCTACTCTGCTCTACTCTATGCCATAACATACCCAACCTCGTGTGCCACCAGGTGCTCTTCTCCACCGAGACTTTCGCCATGGGAGTCAATGCTCCTGCTCGCACTGTGAGTGTGGTGATGATGGGTGATGAGCGGTGATGAGGGTGATGAGAGGTGATGAGGGTGATGAGAGGTGATGAGGGTGATGACTGGTTGTGAGTATTGAGATCTCTGGTTTCGCACTTAAGCAAAAGTCTGGTCGTGGGCCAGCCGGGTGCCGCTTTCCGCTAGTTGACCCAGCCCAACCCAGGGGGCCATCATCGGCCCAGGCACGGCCCGCCATTTCTATAATTGGGCTGGGCCGGGCTTTGGATATAGGTTGGTTAGTTGTAGCTTCACATTCCCGACTTATCCATCCGCATCCACTTTGTAACGGCCCGCCATTTTATAGGCTGGGATTTCTTTCTTTCTTCCAACCTTCGTGCGTGATGCTTTGTGTTACGTAAGCCCGTGAGCTTTCTTTTGTTGATTCATCGCTTCCGCGTGTATTCTCTTAAAGGGTGATGGGGGGTGATATGCACTGGATCCATGATCCATCTATGCAGCAATGAATATGAGAACCTTCATGCATGTACTGAACTGAGTGGGAACTGTGGCACAACTAGATGGCAGGGGATTGACCTCCCATCAGATGGCCTTCCGCACACTCAATCAGTGCAACTGCTCTCATCCCTGTCTGCCTCTCATGCTCTCATGCTCTCATGCTCACCCTCGTCTCTCGCTCCTCTCTCCTCCCCTTTCTTCCCCTCGTCCCCTCCATCAGGTGGCCTTTCATGCGCTCAAGAAGCATGACGGCCGTTCCTTCCGCATGCTGCTGCCGGGGGAATACACACAGATGGCAGGCAGGGCAGGCAGGCGAGGGCTTGACAAGGTGAGGCGAGGTGGATAAGGTGCGGCGGGGTGGACAAGGTGAGGCGGGGTTGTTGTGAGATCATACTGCCGAGCTGATGAATCATAGTTGCTGATAGGGCAACGACATGTAAGTTGATGCTCGCTCATCCCGCATGCTGCTGCCTCGGGAATACACAGAGGTGACGGGCAGGGCAGGCCGCAGGCAGCCAGTTCGGCACGGTGATCATCTGCTGCTGGGAGGGAGGGCGAGCACGTGGACCCACGTGAACTCATTGTGCTTTTCTAACATGCTACACCGCTCCCCACCTTCACCCCTCCCCACCCCCACCCTCCCCATCCTCCCCCCCCCCTTCCAGTTCGGCACGGTGATCATCTGCTGCTGGGAGGGCGAGGAGGTGCCCAGCGAGGTGGACCTTCGGCGGGTGCTGACTGGCAAGGCCACGAAGCTGGAATCGCAGTTCCGCCTCTCTTACGCCATGATCCTCAACCTGCTAAGGGTGGAGGACCTCACTGTGAGTGGGACAAGCAGCACAGCACGAGGATGAGGAGTAAGAGTGTGCGCCCCCTCATCGACTCTCCTATGCCATGATCCTCAACCTGCTCAGCTCAGGGTGGAAGACTTAACTGTAAGCGAGTGAAAACCCCTCATTTTACACAGTGAACAGGTGGGCACACCCCTTCATGCCTCTCCCACGCCATGATCCTCAACCTGCTGCGAGTGGAAGACCTCACTGTGAGGGCACCCCAACCTATGTGCCTCACTGTGAGAGCACCCCAACCTATGTGCCTCACTGTGAGAGCACCCCAACCTATGTGCCTCACTGTGAGAGCACCCCAACCTATGTGCCTCACTGTAAACAGTGAACAGGTGAAGCGCCCTCTCCCAACCCCTCATGCCTCTCCCACGCTATGCTCCTCAACCTGCTGCGCGTTGAGGAGCCCACTGTGAGTGAAGCCCATGCTAGCAGCAGGAGGGTGAAAGGTGTTATGGGTCACCGTCCCTCCCTCGTGCCTCTCCTACGCCATAATCCTCAGCCTGCTGCGCGTGGAGGACGTGTTGGAGAGCATGTGGAGGACGTGTTGGAGAGGACATGCTTGTTGAAGCACATGCAATGGAGCAGCAAACATCGTCCGCCCTCACGCAGCATTGTGTGGAGGACATGTTCAAGTGCAGCTTCGCAGAGGCACACATAGTGGAGCTGCAATCCTTTCCCACCCTCACCTCTCACCCTCGCCCTCCCTCTGCAATACCACTCCATCACCATCCCCTGCCACCAGGTGGAGGACATGTTGAAGCGCAGCTTTGCGGAGGCACATGCGCAGCGCCTGCTACCCCAGCAGCAGAAGATGCTGCAGGCGGGCGAGCACGCCCTCGCCCAGCTCGCCAACGCCCAGCCCATCAGGTACCGCGCCTTCCATGTGCCGTGTGACTCTGTGCCTCCGTGCCCCTTGTGAGACGTCACAGAAGATGCTGCAGGCGGGCGAGCACGCCCTCGCCCGGCTCGCCAACGCACAGCCCATCAGGTACTGTACCTTCTCGGTGCCCTGTTCATTTTATGAGAGCTTTCAAATCATGTGACGCTTGCCATGCCATTGCCAATCTTCCTCTAGCTGCACGTTTTTCTCTCTCGAGGAGGCGCTTGGGCGGCCGCTTGTTCATATCATACAGCACTCACTGCAGCCATGTCGTGGCATGAAAGGTTCTCAACTTCCCCTTCCCACATTTCCCTCTCCTCCTCGTTCCCCTCCTATCATTCCCCTCCTAACTCACCCGTTCTTCCCCCCAGCTGCATCCTGGGCGACCCGTCGCTCATAGAGGACTACTATGGCGTGGCTGGCTGGCATGAGAGCCTCTCAACAACCTTCCCTGTTCCCTGATTCCTTCTTTCCCTCTCCTCTGTTTCCCTTCGTACGCACACCGCCGTCCCCCGCAGCTGCATCCTGGGCGACCCGTCGCTCATAGAGCAGTACTATGACGTGGCAAGTGAGGCACGTGAGCTGGATGCGGCCCTGCATGACGTGGTCATGAGGTTGCGACAGGCCTCTCAGCTGCTGACACCTGGCAGGGTCGTACTGGTGCAGGCGGCTGAGGTGAGTGGGTGGCGGTACTCTGTGGATGTGAAACGAGCGTGCATGAGAGGGTGGGAGGGGGGGACTTTTGAGTCGACTCAAAGGTGACTGGGTGGCGGTACTCTGTGGATGTGGATCAAGGGCGCATGAGAGGGTGGGGTGAGGGGAGGGGGTGGGAGGAGAGGGTGGGGGGACAAGAGCATGAGGATGGGCGTAAGGCAAGGGATGGGTGGAGCATGTGATTGGGTGGGGCAGGACAACAATATGGTTTGAAGAAAGCACATGTACATACGCATTGATACATGTACATGCACATTGATACATGTGCATGCACATTGATACATGTGCATACACATTGATACATGTGCATACACATTGACACATGTGCATACACATTGATACATGTGCATACACATTGATACATGTGCATACATGCGCTCAACTGACTCTCCCCTTTGCAGATCCACCCTTTGCTTCCCTTCAATGCCCACAGTTCCCTGCCATCCCGCCATATTGATATGCATTCCACCATTCCACCCTTGTATGGCGGGATGTGCCAGCCAAGCACTCCTTCCTCGTGCTCTCCCTGCCGCTCTCTTTTGAGGCGCCTCAATAGTGCCATCACCTCCCCTCCCTTTTCTATGACCCAGACTGCGTCTCCCCACGTGGCAGCGCTGCTCAAGGGCCCGTTCGGCCCCACCCCAGTGAAGAACACGGTTGGGCCGTGGAGAGTCAGCTCCCCTCTCCGTTTCCCCTCCCCTCCCCTCTCCCTTCTCCTTCCCCTTCCCATGGCCCAGACTGCATCGCCCCACGTGGCAGCGCTGCTGAAGGGCCCATTCGGCCCCACGCCAGCCAAGCACTCCTTTCTCGTGCTCTCCCTGCCGCGCTCGTCTGCTGCACATGCACCGGGGGAGAGCGGAGAGAGCGGCAACGGACGCGGCGAGGGCTCTGGGAATGGACAGGAGGGGCGCGAGGAGGAGGGTAGGGAGGAGGAGACGAGGGTGGGTCGATCGTTTAACCAGGTCACAGTCCTAGGCACGGGTCCCAACGGGCCTATAGTCGTCAACATGCGGTTACCACATCGCGGCACTGTAGCGGGCACGTGTTACACGGTGGAGCAGATCCCTGCCGCCCAGCTCGTGGGGGTGTGCCGAGCCAAAGTTGCTCTGGATGTGCCGAGCCTGCTGGAGGAGGTTCGGGTGCCGGCATATGCTGCAGCGGTGCATGCGCTGGTTCAGGTTCGGGAGGAGTGTGCTCCTGCCGATCCTCCCCTCATCGACCCCATCAAAGGTTCTCCATCCATCCTCTCTTTGTCCTCTCACAATCCTCTCTCTACTAGTGAACCCAATTGTCCATGCCTGCAGGTTCCTTGTTGATTGAATTCTCCCCTTCTGTATTGGAGGTGCTTTTGAGAACCTCACAAGCAACTCTTCTATGCCCTTCTTGTCTCTTGAAAATCTCAAGCTTGCACTTTCTTTTCCGTTCTGACCTGCCACGTCAGACCTCAAGATCGCTGACTCAGCAACGGCAGCCATGCACAAGCGCCAGCTGGCGCTGCGGGAGTTGCTGCCGCGCAGCCCGTGCCACGCGTGCCACCGATTGGACGAGCACTACGCTGCTGTTTCCTCCCGCCGCCAGCTGTCGCACCAGGTATGGTCCGATTGCGCCAGCTGTCACAGCAAGTGAAGTCTGCTTGTACAATCTGCCTATCACTGCAAGTGAAGTTCATTTGTGACAGCTGTCATAGCCGATGGACTCTTTCTATGCCCAGTTGTCACCACAGAACAGATGGAGTCCAATTGTGCCTGGTACAGCCGGGCCGCTACAGGCAATGAAGAGCAGCCAGGCTCTGCAGCAGCCAGGCTCTGCAGCAATTGCGTCTGGCCTTCACCTCCTCCCGTCTCTCCTCTTCTCACCGGTGCTCCTCCTCTCGTGTGCTCCTCCTCTCGTGTGCTCCTCCTCTCGTGTGCTCCTCCTCTCGTGTGCTCCTCCTCTCGTGTGCTCCTCCTCTCGTGTGCTCCTCCTCACCTGTGCTCCTCCTCACCTGTGATCCTTCTGTTCTCCTCCTTAAATCGCCTCATCTTCGTTCCTCCCATCCACAGGTGGAGCAGCTCAAGGCGATGACGAGTGACCAGGCACTGCAGCAGCTGCCAGACTTTCACCTGCGAGTGAGTACATGCACTATGTGTGCTGAGGAGCGTGCAAGACGGGGGTGGGCATGTGAGTGCAGTGGCGGAAGTGGGGGGTGGGAGAGAGTGAGTGCAGTGGTGGCATTGGGGATTGAAAGAGTGAGTGCAGTGGTGGCATTGGGGATTGAGAGAGTGAGTGCAGTGCATGCGGTGAGCTGCTTTCCAGATCCACCCAACCCAACCCCTCTGCCACGCAGAGGGCCCATTGCACCTGTTTTACTCTCGAGAATTTTCAACAGCGCAATACAATATCCGAGTGCCACAACAGATGAACAGCGCACACAGCAGTGCCTTGCCTCTCACCTGTAACCTCTCGTTCCCTGCACCTTAATATGAACCCTAAACCTGTTCCCCCCAGGTGGAGGTGCTCCAGACCCTGGCCTTCATAGACGCGGACCGCATAGTGCAGCTGAAGGGGCGGGTGGCGTGTGAGATGAACAGCGCTGACGAGCTGCTCGCCACTGAGTGCCTGCTCAACCACCACCTCGCCGCCCTCTCGCCGCCCGCTGCCGTTGCGCTGCTCTCGGCGTTTGTCTTCCAGCAAAAGGACGCGTCGTCGCCCCAGCTCACTGCGGAGCTGGCCCATGCGAGGAACAAGTGAGAAAGGGGTGCGGGAGGGGGTGGGGAGGGGAGGGGATGAGGGGGGTATGGGAGCGGGTACGTGTTCTGCTCTGCGCGTGGCGTTTGTATTCCAGCAGAAGACGCATCGCCGCCTCAGCTCACTGCAGAGCTGGCCCGTGCGAGGAACAAGTGAGGAGTGTTGAGGGAACAAGGTTGGGGGTTGAGGGTTGAGGGGGGGCCAATGGGCTGGGATGAGGGAGGGAAGGTGTGTGTTGTGCTCCTGGCACTTGACTTGCAACATGTCCCCCGCAGCCAACTTATAGCGCAGAAACAAGTGAAGGGCTACTGGGAAAGGGGTGTTTTTAGTCTGGGATGAGGTATGGTAGGGGTGTCAGTTTTTCCTCTCGCTACACTGACTCGTCCCTATGAACAAGCCCATGAGGTGGGTGGTGGCACGGGGATGGGGGAAAGGTGGAATGCATACATTCTCGATTCGGCAGAAGCAGAAATGCCTCTGCATAGCAGTTAGCTGTCTGCTGACCTGGCTCTGAAACCTCTCAAAAACGGCCTGCTGTCCAGGCCCAGGGTATGATTCAGGTGGCTGCGGTACAGGAAGCTTCATTCACTGTTTTTTGGCTTGTATCCTCACACCATCCCCACCCCAGACCACTGCACCTCGTGAGTTTTCCTTGACGACCAGAATCCCTTCATTGTCCCCCTTCCTCCTCACTGACCCATGTCAAAATCTTCTTCCAACTTCGCACCAGTACTAAACAAAACTGCCATAATTATCTGGACCCCAAGCTCGTGCCCTTGCGGACTTGTGCTCCTGTTGTATCTCCTGGCTATGCACGCCACACCACAATGCGTATGCCTCTCCATGCCTGTCGCATTCCCGCCCCTGCAGGCTGCTGGACCTGGCATACTTCCTGGGCGACCTGCAGAGGCGAGTGGGGCTGCCCACGTCAGCGGAGGAGTACGCAGCAGCCACACTCAACTTTGGGCTCATGGAGGTGGTCTATGAGTGGGCTCTGGTGTGTCTCCCGCACTCCCCTCTCTCTTTCGATCTCTCCTTTTACCTGTGGTTTCCAGCTTAATAGGACCATTCCTTTTCATTTGCTGAAGATTTTTTTCCCTTTTCTGCCAGATTCTTTCTTTGCCGCTCGTCCTTTGCAACATTTTTCCCCTTGACCAATGTGCCAGATAGCACCTCAAATGTAGCCACGTGGTGTAGCGAGGTGCACAATCAGTCACCCTACCTCCACTTCCTGTCCCCCTGGGCATGCTCTTGGCTGCCGTCCAACCGTTAGCCAATGGCACCAACCTGGGCTCATAAGATGCTAATCTCCCTTGATACACTTTCCCATCTGCGTTCCCCAGGGCACGCCCTTTGCTGACATCTGTCCGCTGACCAACGTGGCCGAGGGAACCATTGTGCGCACCATTCTTCGGCTCGATGAGACATGTCGTGAGTTCCGCAGTGCCGCTAGGCTGCTGGGGAATGCGGAGCTCATGGCGACCATGGAGGCGGGGTCTGCTGCCATCAAGAGAGACATTGTATTTGCTGCCTCACTTTATGTCTCATGAGCAGGCCTCTGGATAGGATTTGAACTACTCTTTTTCAATAACCCTCATATACCCTCTCTGGTGAAGGCTAGTGGTAGTAGTACCGTACTGGTAACCATGCGAGATGGAAGTAACAGCTCACCAAGAATGGAATAAGAACCTTCAATATCAGATGCAACATTACAATATATATTCATGCAGTGCATACATTACACCTATCTCTGCAGTTCGATCCAATCGTCACTCCAGCTTCATGTTGAGGAATGAACTCGCTTCTTTCCTTTTCTTTTCCATCGTTTCCGTTCCTGCAACCACTCAGTAATCGCAGGTCAGCCATACTGCTGCAATGCCGCTCCCAGCACTCTATCTGTACACAAAAAAGGGCTGCGGTTGGACTGATCGAGAAATGGCCCAGCACTTACCACAGCCAAGAAGTAAATGAATGTCACAACAAACATGACAATGAATATATACTGGAACAAGTTAAACCTGCAAAGAATTCAGAACTAGCACATGGTCAACCCTTTGGCACATGTATGAAGAAAAGCTCTCATGAGTCCTCAAAAACAGGAGATGAATTCACGTACACGTATAAGTAGCGTATGCCTTGAAGATTTTCTAGCGTATGACCAAATATCTCCTGCACTGCTGTTTCTTGTGCATATGCAGCAAAGGCTTTTGCACAAAATTGTATTGCACTGCAGCAGGATTACAAAGCGTCAACTGAGAACGACACATGCAACCAAGCGACTGAACGTCTTACCTCGTTGCACAACAAAGTATGAGGGCCACGTTAAATAAGAACGAACTCATGAGGGTAGCATTCCACCTGAAAATTGACACACATAAGTCTCCAAGATACAACGAACACACTAGACATCGAACATGTCATACCTCATGGGATGAATTGAAAGGATCAGAATGTTGAGACCAAGGTACATCTCCCCCGATATAACAGCCAGGAAGAGGTAAAAGCAAAAAATCGAAAATGCTCCTGTTCCAAGCAGGCCTGCAGGTCAAAAGAATATCAAATTAAGTGTGTTACGATGATAAAGCTGAATACCACGGGCACTCACCCCACCACCGGTCGAGGGTTATGAAAAAATTGTTCAGGAAAGCCGCTGCAGGTGGCTGTATGAGCATATATAAGATAATATGCACGATCCAAGCAACAGAAATGGCAAGCCTGCAGGGCGAATGAAACGATCAGAATACAAGACGAGAGTCAACACTGTAATCAGCTCAATGAACTTACCCAATGACTCCAAATATCAGTTTCCCAATGTAAAGAAGTACTGTCATAGCCCAGAACATCTCTGCTTCCTCTCCTTGGGGAAATCTTTCTCGAAGCTCAGCTTCATCCTCTTCCAAATGAAAAAGCGCCTGTTTCAGAAACACCATCACTTCAAGAGCTTGAGAACTTCTGGCAATCCATTCTTACCTGCTGCAACTTCTTTGCATTTCGCCTCCATGCCCAAGTTTTACCGCCACTTCTTTCCTCCTGCTGAAGAGTAACAGCAAGTTCATGTATCTCCTTGGCCTTTTTCCCAATTGCTGTGGCTTCCTGCATCCGCGTTCTGTCATGTTAGGAGAACCAGGAGCATGAATCAAACCCTTAAATTTGCAACTGCCGGTACCTTAATGTATTCCGAACGGGTTATTGTGGCTCTTGGACGCCTTAGAAAGGAAAGAATAGATGAAAGTGGCAAGACGGCTATGCCAACACCACCAAAAATCTGTAAAACACAGACGTCAGTCGATTTGAGCATCTGATGGAGAGGGAGCAGCATCCTATAATACTCACTGAGAATAAGAGAGACCCCAGTATCGTGAATAATGCAATAATGTACTTCGGAAACGAGACCCTCAGTGTCCATGTAGTCTTGGATCCTTGAGGGGAAGCATAAGAAGAACACTGATTTCACAGAAACAACAAATTAGGTCTATCCCAAGAAAACGAGGGACCTTAAGGTGACAATTTCTCACTCACCGCGCCCAGACCGGTATTATACAAGGAAACACAGGAAGCTTGACTACCAAGCGAACTGAAGTCGTTCGTCATGGGAATAGTCGCAGAGACCAGCCTCTTTACAGGATACTCCACGTAACCAACGAAACCTGAAATGGAATTGTCATAGGACCCTGTCCGACTTAACGCAGTAAATAAAAAGCGTATCCATTGTCCTGCTTACCATAAAGAATCCCAAAGAGCCCCCCAAACACAAACACGGACAGGAGACACCACAAAATCGCGAGCAATACCCGCTTTCCGGTACCCCTGCATCATGATGAGAGTTCAGTCATCGATTGTGAACCAAAATATAGTGAATGAGTTATGGCCTCTACACTTACTTTTCTTCATCGCCCTCGTACAAGAAGATGGAGAAAGGGATGATGACGAAGACCATGACGCATATTGCAATCCAAAGGATGTACCACAGAGTTCTCATGGGCAAAGTCTCGGAGCAATCTCCGGTCACGAAGCCATTAATGCAGCTGTGCCTGTTGGAAACGTCCGCTGGAAGCATGAGTACTGAAAGTTGCGCAAGCGTAAGACCAATGACCTGCGCAAAGCAAACCATGCCGTCCTATTGAGTATGAACATCAGAGATTCTCCGGACGCACAACGCAGCTGTGCGAAATACAGAGGGACGTTGTGGTTGGGATATTCTAGGAACAAGTTCGCCTACCACGACAAGTTTTGGGAAATACGCTTGGTTTGAGTCATCCGGATGTTGGTAGTTAATGAGGAGATAAATACTGACGGCAATGGAAAGCAATGATACAACAATCGCTATAACAAGCAGCGCAATGTTAATGTCCCCCATGGCTGGGAAAACAAGGAAGAATCTGCAAATTCGTTGACAGAACTTCTTCCACAGCGTCTCTTCTCATATGAGTCGATTAGAAATCGTGATGGAAGGCATGTCGTTGGGGGTGGGTTCGTAGTGAGAGAAGCAGCGTTTCAGTGGATGAATGAGTACGATAAGGCGATTCGTTCGTCCTCGCTGTAAAGCAAGTCTTCGTTACGAAATAATAACTTCCTAGCCCCAACTAGCCCTGGCCAAATCTTCTCACTACATTCGTAAACAGATAAGAAAACTTAAAACATAGGGCTCGTGTGGCTCTGCGATAGTGAAATGGTAACGGGATGGAAATGGGCGTCGTGTAGAGTGTTGTACGCGCTATGCAGGGTGACGACGAGAGGTGGTGTTATCCCGCTACTATCTGAGAATATTTCCCCGTCAAGCCCGTCGCCGCCGTATATGTCGAAACATTTTCCTGCGTGAATTCAGTCCAACAAAACGCCTGGTGCAACCCAACACGAATGATTGAAACCTTGCTATACGTTTCGCCTTCATTCCCGTTTTCGCATCTCAGCTCGGTGGAGACACCATCCTTTCGCAAATCGCAAAAGAAGCGGAACCCAGGGGGCTTGTTCAGGTGACCAGGAGGAAGTTGGTGTCAGAATCTAGAGACAGGAATGAATGAACTATGAAAGAGTTGGGTACAAGTATGAAACCCTAAAAGGGGCTGTACCCCATATTGGCTACCCCACTACAGCCTACACATATATAACATGCATATACTTTGACACACCCCTATAGGCAAAGTGGGGGAGAGCAAGGGGTCATAAGACCAGTCAAGAAAAGCAAAGCAAGCTCAGGGTGGATCACAACGTCACCACACACACTGAGCACAAGCAAAGGGCCACAAGGCCAGTTCACATGCAGAGGTATATATGCAACAACAACAGCACAGTGATCTCTACCTAGCAGAGCAAGCATGCAGGTATATATATAGATCACAGTACAAGAAAAGTCTACAGCAAGTGAGGAAACGTGGGCACAAGGCCTAACAGAGTGCAGAAACGCTGATGATCACCGGACAGAAGCGCCTTGGTGAATATATCAGCAGTGTTGGCCCGAGTGGCCACGTGAGCAAGACGAAGCTGACCACGCTGCTGCAACTCTCGAGCAAGGAAGTAACGCAGAGCGATGTGCTTCGTTCTGTGCTCCAGTCTGTGCTCCTGACACAAGGCAATGGCGGCCTTGTTGTCGACGTACAGCACTGGAGGAGAACGAGGCCTCTCTCCCAAGTCGGTCAGCAGGTAGGTGAGCCAGCGTAACTCCTGTGCAGCCATGGCTGTGGCGTAGATCTCGGCCTCACAACTGGAGCCGAGAACAGAGGACGAGCGTGTAGACCGCCAAGAAACAGAGCCAGAGCCAAGGCTGAAGGTGTAACCCTGTGACGACCGCTGCGTAGCCTGGTCGTCAACCCAAGAAGCGTCCGAGTGTCCAGTGAGGACAACGTCGCCCCGTCCTCCAAGCACGAGCCCCATGCCCGATGTACTGCACAAGTAGCGCAGTACCCTCTTAGCAGCATCCATGTGCACCTTTCGGTGCCGACCAAGAGCCACGTAGCGAGCCAGAAGGCCAAGAGGGTACGCAAGGTCAGGACGAGTGCAGGTCATCAGGTACATAAGGCAGCCCACTAGCTCTGGGTAAGGACCACTCGGCTCTACGGACTCGTCTGAAGGTGGAGCTGAGAGCGAGTGACCTGTAGCCAGAGGAGTGGCCTGTGCCGAGGACCAGGTGAAGCCGAAGCGCTGAAGGACCTGCTGCACCATGTGTGACTGAGTCAGTGTGATGGTGCGGCGTGCTCTGTCCCGGGTGATCTGCAAGCCAAGGTAGCTGCGCAGCTCACCCAGGTCTGTGCACGTGTGTCTCTTCTGCAGCTCCGACTTCACCAGGGCGAGAGCCCCAGTGTCAGCAGTGGCAAAGACCAAGTCGTCGACGTACACGAGGATGTAGAACGGCGGCAGCGAAGTGTCGGTGCGCAGAAACAGCGATTGGTCAGCAGTCGACGGAGCAAACCCAAGAGCCGCAAGTGTCGTCCTCAGTGTGTCGTGCCACTCACATGGCGCCTGGCGGAGACCGTAGACCGGCCGCCGGAGGCTCCACTGGGTACCAGGAGGGAACGACACAGTGAAGCCAGGTGGGCGGCGCAGCCAGATCTCCTCGTGCAGGCTGCCCTGTAAGAAGGCAGTGCTGAAGTCAAGAGAGTGAAGCTCGTAGTCACGCTGAGCGGCAACGTGCAGCAGCACCCGAAGAGTGGTCATCTTCGGGGTGGGGGAGAAGGTCTGGAAGAAGTCTACTCCCTCTCGCTGACTGAAACCTCGTGCAAGGTAACGCGCCTTGAAGACAGGCAGAGAACCCGGCGGCCGCTTCACCCTGAAAATCCACATGCCACTGACGATGTTCGCCCCAGGTGGGGGAACCTCGTCGACGTAAGTGCCTGTGGACTTCCAGGATGCCATCTATGCGTCCATGGATGTCTGCCACTGAGAGGAGTACTCACCCGCTATCGCCTCAGCGTAAGAGCGCGGGGTCGGGATGTCTGGTGCATCCGGGTCTCCCTCAGGGGCAAGCAGCATGGACACGAGATGAGGCGCAGCGGCTGCAAGACACTCAAGGTCCTCCTGCCTGTCCTCAAGGACGTCCGTGCCAAGAGCACACTCACCCTCGACGGACGGAGGACAGACAGACTCAGACTCAGACTCAGCAACAAGACTAGCGGCGTAGTCTAGACGACAGGCAGCAGCAAAGTCAACAAGCTCAGCGACTCAGGCAGACGCAGCAGCAGACTCAAACGACGGGTCAGTGACAACAGTGGCTAGCAGACGCGTGACAGTAGGGTGCTCAGCACGAAACCGGTCAAACTCAGGGTCCGCAACGACAGGCAGAGAAGACGCAGGAGGAGACGGCAGAGGAACACGCTGCGGAGGAGAGGAAGGACGACGGACTACGAGGTCCGGCTGACGCGGACGAGGAACACGACGACCGGACCAACCAGAACGGACAGGCGAGACAGGACGCGACGCAGGCTCACGACGCTCAGTAAGACCCCCTGTCTACTCAGTGTAAGGAGAAGGAGCAGGCAGCGGTGAGCCAGGCTGTAACGGAAGACCAGTAGACGAAGGGAGACTAAGAACCTGGCGAAGCACAGAGTCAGGCGGTGGCTGAGACGACGGAGACGGTGAAGCGAAGAACAGGCGCAGCTGTGCAGTGACACCAGCACCAGCAGCTCAGTACCCCCAGCAGCTCCAGCACCTCCAGCAGCTCCAGACCCCTCAGCGCCAGCTCCTCCAGGACCAGCTCCACCAACAGCAGCACCCCCAGAACCGGCACCTCCAGTCCCAGGGTCTCCAGCCTCAGTGTCTCCAGCAGCAGCACCCCCAGACCCAGGGTCTCCAGCAGTAGCACCCTCAGGCTCAGCACCTCCAGCCCCAGCAGCTCCAGTACCTCCAGTACGAGCACCTCCGGGACCAGCACCACTCCCAGCTCCAGTGACGTCAGCAGAAGTACCTCCAGCGGCAGAGCCCCGAGCTCCAGAAGCGCGACCCTGACGGCGACCGTACCAGTCGTGCAGCTGCTGTGAGGTGAGAGGCACCCGCGGACGAAGGCGGCTACTCCAAGGAGACCGCGCAACAGCAGCTCCAGAACCTCCAGCGTCAGCACCCGCAGCAGCTCCAGAACCTCGAGCTCCAGCGCCAGCACCTCCAACAGCTCCAGAACCTCCAGCGCCAGCACCCGCAGCAGCTCCAGAACCTCCAGCTCCAGCGCCACCAGCGCCAGCACCTCCAACAGCTCCAGAACCTCCAGCGCCAGCACCCGCAGCAGCTCTAGAACCTCCAGCTCCAGCGCCACCAGCAGTAGTACCCCCAGAGCCGGCACCTCCAGCTCCTGGGCCCCCAACCTCAGAGTCGACAGCAGCACCTCCAGGTCCAGCAGGACCTCCAGTCCCAGCAGCTCCAGTACCTCCAGTACGAGCACCTCCGGGACCAGCTGCTCCAGGAACTCCAGTAGAAACAACACCAGTAGCAGAGTCACCAGCTCCAGCGCCTCCAGCAGCAGGGCCCCTAGCTCCAGCAGCGCGACCCTGATGGCTAACGTACCACTCACTCAGCTGCTGTGGGGAGAGAGGGAGACGACGACGAGAGTGCAGCGGCGAGGCACCAGCGGAGCGACTACGGAGACGGCCGCTCCAGGGAGACTGCTCACCAGACGCCTCAGCGCCCCCAGGTGCAGCACCCCCAGACTCAGTACCCCCAGGCTCAGCACCCCCAGACTCCTCACGCCCAGGCTCAGCACCTCCAGGCTCCGCACCCCCAGGCTCAGCACCTCCAGGCTCCGCACCCCCAGGCTCAGCACCCCCAAGCTCCGCACCCCCAGGCTCAGCAACCCCAGGCTTCGCACCCCCAGGCTCAGCACCCCCAGAAGCAGCACCCCGAGCAGGACCACCCCCAGCAGGACCTGAGTCACCAGTGACCTCAACCGGCGCAGACAAGGGAGGAGGGTCTACCTGAGACACACCTGAAGGAGCAGGACTGGGAGCGGGGAGGGGGTCTACCTGGGGAGCACCTGGAGCGAGGAAGAGCGGCGGGGGA